AAATGGTAAATTTTCAGAATGGAGAGGGGTAACTAGTGGTGTCTTCCAAGGGTCAGTCCTGGGACCAATCCTTTTCAACTTACTCATAAATGATCTGGAGAAAGGGGTAAGCAGTGAGGTGGTAAAGTTTGCAGATGATACCAAACTGTTTAGGATAATCAAGACAGAAGCAGACTGTGAGGGACTCCAAGAAGATCTCACCAAACTGAGTGACTGGGCAACAAAATGGCAAATGAAATTTAATGTGGATAAGTGTAAAGTAATGCACATTGGGAAAAATAACCCCAACTATACGTACAGTATGATGGGGGCTAATTTGGCTACGACAAATCAGGAAAGAGATCTTGGAGTTATCGTGGACAGTTCTCTGAAAACTTCCACACAGTGTGCAGTGGCGGTCAAAAAGGCAAATAGGAAGCTAGGAATTATTACGAAAGGGATAGAAAATAAGACCCAGAATATCTTACTGCCCTTGTATAAAACTATGCTATGCCCACATCTTGAATACTGTGTACAGATGTGGTCTCCTCACCTCAAAAAAGATATTTTGCCTTATTCTGAACCCTTTCCAAGGCAACTAAAATGATTAGGGGTTTGGAACGGGTCCCATATGAGGAGAGGTTAAAACAACTGGGACTTTTTAGTTTAGAAAAGAGAAGACCGAGGGAAGATAGAGGTATATAAAATCATGAGTAGTGTGGAGAGGGCCGATAAAGAAAAGTTATTTATTAGTTCCCATAATAGAAGAACTAGAGGACACCAAATGAAATTAATGGGTAGCAGATTTAAAACTAATAAAAGAAAGTTCTTCTTCACACAGCGTGTAGTCAACCTGTGGAACTCCTTGCCAGAGGAGGCAGTGAAGGCTAGGACTATAATAGAGTTTAAAGAGAAACTAGATAATTTCATGGAGGTTGGCTGGGCAGGGACGGCAGGAGAAAAATTGCTTGACCATTGTCTTCGGTCCCCCCTCTCTGGGGCACCTGGCATTGGCCTCTGTCGGCAGACAGGCTACTGGGCTAGATGGACCTTTGGTCTGACCCAGTACGGCCCTTCTTATGTTCTTCCGAAAAAAATGGGATTTTGCGCAAAAAAGACGCATCTAGACTACTTGTTTTTGCGCAAAAGCCTCTTCTGAAAAAAGGATATGCAAATGAAATGTGAGAAAATGGTAATAAGCACTTCATTTGCATTTCCTCTTTTGGAAGAGGAAAGCATTCTAGATAAGCCCTCTGTAAGTGGTCTCTGTGCAGCTAGATGGGACAGTGCACCACACCAAACAAGGAGTGCAGGTTACACCTGCATGTGACTATTTCATTAATCCCACTCACATCCCCTCCCACAATGCCCACTCCCTGGCCAACCTGCTCCTGCCTTGTTGGTTGCATTTTTAGCCATGCCTATATGGGTGTATCTACATGGTAAGGCTTAACTCGAAGTAAGCTACGTAAATTGAATTATGTCAATTGTGTATCTTATTTAGAAATTGGGAGCGTCTACACAGCACTTGTTTCAAAATGAAGCGCTTTTCCTCTGACTTCCCTTACTCCTTGTACAATGAGGGTTACAGGAGTTGGAGTAAGAAGTCCGCCAGCTTGACAGTATTTCGACATTATTTTGAAATAACGTTGCTGTGTGGACATGGACTAAGTTATTTCGGAATACTGCCAGTTATTTCATAGAATCATAGAATAATAGGACTGGAAGGGACCTCGAGAGGTCATCGAGTCCAGCCCCCCGCCCTCAAGGCAGGACCAAGCTCCATCTACACCATCCCTGACAGATGTTTATCCAACTAATGTATTTCAAAACAATGTTGCTGTGTAGATGTACTCTACGAGAGCCGGGGGTCCTGCAGGACCTGTGGAATCCCAGTCTCATTGCAGGGGTCCCGGAGGCAGAGAAGTATTCGTACAGTGCACAGCACTGTGAGATGGATCCCCAAAGGCTGATGAAAACAGTGGGTAAAGCATAAGCCTGTTCCTGATGGAAATGGTTAATACTTCCCTTTTAGAAGGCCTAGTGCCTATCAGTCTGACACAAGCCACAGTTGGACTATTCCTAACATCCTTGCCATTTTCCAACCTCTTGTTTTTGAGAAACTTGGTGGAGAAGGTAGAGGGATGGTGTGTGTCAGCACTAGATCCTTCAATGTTGCCTGTCCCTAACTAGTCTGCAATGAAATAGTTACGGCACCTAGGTAGCATTAATATCTTCGATGAATCTTCCCAGAGATGGACATAGGCCAGGTGGCCCCTATGCCTGCATTTGTTCTTTAGATGCTTTTGATACAGATGACTCTGGTGAGGTTGACTCAACGAAGAACATGTCAGGACAACTTTGTAGCACCTCCGCTATGGAAAAGTGGGGCATAGTGCAGGACGTTTGCTCTGCGGCTCAGTGTATGTGTGAATGCACTGGGGGAGCATGCATGATGCACTGATATCCACGTAGTCAGCATACTGATGATGTTCAGCTCCATAGTTTTGCTGCATCTCCTAGATCTTGCAGTGTCTCATTTTTTTTTTTGAGGTTTACAGGATCTTTTGAAAAAGCCTGCTGTTTTTAAAAGAACTGCGTCTAGACCGTGGTTTTACTTTCGAAATTGCGCTTGTTTGACAGAGCGCCATGAAGCGATTATGCAAATGAAGTGCAGGATATTTAAATCCCCACTTCATTTGCACTTTCCAAGTGTCTCATTTACATCTCTTTGTCAACAGAGGAACGTAGCCCAAGGGTCAGAAGTCTCTTACCTTCTGCTGTCTCATAGCTGACAACTTTCCCTCTTAGATGCAGACCTCACTATGGTCATCTGTGCATTTGCCATCACCAGAGTTGATTATTCTAAAGCACCCAGGACTTCTTTTGAAGATGACACGGAAGGTCCTGGTAGTGCAGACTGTTGCTGCCTGCCTTTTAAGCAGGGCACAATGACATAAACACAACACCACGTGCCATGCTTTGTAATGGCCTCCTCTTCGCTGTGGGCTGAAGCAAACTGGGGAGGATTAATTATAACCCCCAAATCATATGGGACCCATTTATTTCCAAGATTGCCTTCACTCTGACCCCATCATGGGGATTATGAATGGTGGAAGGTATCTTCTGTCTGTCCCAAAGGCTGAACCTCAGAGATAGTTGCCAGGACATTTTGATGGAGGATTTCAGAAATGGCCCATTTTGCTGTTCGCTCGGGTGGACTGTGAGTATAGGCTGACTCGGCCGTCGCCTAGGGCGCCGCCTTCAAGCCAATGATAACATCATTCCATTGACGGCCATGCAGGCGGGGGCGCCGATCGCGTGTTCCTCCTGGGGTGCCAGTTGCCGCAGCCCGCCTCGGGCCACCCCTGTGTTAACTACTGGGCCTTGGTTCAAGACACATCAGTTCGACTTGGCTTGGTAACTGGCAGGGAATTGCTGTTTCATTTGCTAGCTTGCATTTATAACAGAGAACAAAGCATCTGTGTTGGGCTCTATGCACCTTTGACATAATTTAAAATACAACATAAAAAACTCAGTGCCCTCCCCAAAGCCAGCATAAAAGGAAATAACGGAAGATACCTATTAAACCCAAGAGTGTCTGGACAGCAATCTCTCATGCCCTCAGACACTTTAGTGTATTTCTCCTTCCTCTGAAGCCATGATAACTAGACAAGTACTGCAAAGAGCCCTAAAGATCAAGAGATTTGGGCTATTTTGGATCAAGGTGGGGTAAGCTGATTTAAAAGCTGATGACTCCTCATGCAGAATGCTCTGCAGACAGCTCCCCTATTTTTATACCAAGGAAATAACTTCAGTTCTTAAACCCAGCAGAAGTTATCTATGGCAGTTCCAATCCACGAGGTGGGTTTGTGGGTCAAAACCAAGAGCTGGAAACCAATCAATACCCATTGCAAAGTGGGCGGGATGGTGACCTGACAACTGGGAGGGCTGATGAGAAGAGATGAGAGGGGTGGGAAGGGGTTTCATTTAGTAGTCACTGATAGTGTTTTTATTTTGTGTTGGTTTACATCTATTTATGTAATGACAGGCAGTCTAATCAGGTAACTATTTCACCTTTACTCCCAAAGATCATTCAAAATTATCCTGGTCAGTTTACATAACAATTTGTTTATATGAGGCAGTTTACAGAATAGGTCCCAAATACCTCCCAAAATTAAATAGAATTTCAGCAAGAAGAGAGGTAGAGGAAAAGGTGAATTCAGCTGAGATGAAGTGAGCTAGAGAGCTTGAGGCAGTCAGATGGGAGTCTGCTCCTATTGGCAGGAACTTCCATTTGAGAGACCCATTCAATCTCCACTAATAAAAACGCAGGAAGGGACAGAGGACAATGCTAGGCAAGAGGAGAGAGGCAAATGGAGGAACAGTGAGATGACAGATTTTGGAGCAAATCCATGGAGAATTTACATGGAGAAAAATTTTGAAGTAGACTCTGAAATGAGTGGGAATCAGCTAGAGAATACTGGGGTTGCATTGGTTGATACCTGTGAGGTAGACAGCAGCATTATGCATGTCCTGGAGTCCTCATGGATGAGAGTTGAGGCGGCCACCTCTTTGAGGGAAATCTCCTTATTTTTCTCCATGGGCCCTCAGTGCGCTAACACTTTGGGGCTGGTAAGTATGAATATTCCTTTTGCTTTATTTATGTGCCAGATAAATAATTGGTGAGACATACTTGTGCAGCACAGCAGTGACATCCAGTGAGGATTTCTGCTCTTCATAAAGGGTTGTTCTCTGAGGCAGCACGGACTCTGTAGGAACCCCCGTGTGACTCATTCTTCACAGATTCTTATTTAAAGGAAATAGCCCTAATTTGAATAGTGTAGCCCCTCTCTATCCAGCCGTTTCTGGGGGGAGAGGGCAGCTGTGACTGACTGAGCAGATGCCACAGGTTTCCCGCCGTGCACCTGCCTGCTGGAGAATGCATTACTGAGTTCATTAATGTTTCATACTAATGTATTCTAATGTACTTCAATTTTTGATTTAATGAAAATTCTTACCTTCAGGCTTGGTCCATCAGGAAGAAAGTGTTGCTTTGTCCTAATTGAGCAGTGTGCTCACTAGCAGGATGCTTGAATTAGAGCAAAATGTGATCAGGAACAATCTGGCTCTTTCCCAGGGAGAAGCTGAAATGAACCTTCTGTGGGTGTCTTGCTCCCTTCTCCTGTGGCAGAAGGGAGGATATGGATTCTGGCACTTGATGGACTCTGCCCCTATGCTGAATATCCAATAACTGGTAGAGAAATACTTTTACTGTCCCCACCCACCTGACCCTGTGGGTGAATGATAATAAAAGGAAGCCTACCAACTGTGTCCTCTCACCAGCTACTGTGTGGTAGGCAGCTGTATTTGTCAGACCTCTGTTTTCAGGAGAATGCTGTTTCAATAGCTTTTCCTATCCAAATTTTAGCTTTACTCCTTTTCTAGATCCGGTTGAGAACATAAGAAGGGCAGTACTGGGTCAGATCAAAGTTCCATCTAGCCCAGTATCCTGTCTGCCGACAGGGACCAGCACCAGGTGCCCCAGAGAGGGTGGACCGAAGACAATGGTCAAGCAATTTGTCTCCTGCCATCCCTCTCCAGCCTCTGACAAACAGAGGCCAGGGACACCAATTTTGTCCCCCGGCTAATAGCCTTTTATGGACCTAACCTCCATGAAATTATCTAGCTTCTCTTTAAACTCTGTTATAGTCCTAGCCTTCACCGCCTCCTCTGGCAAGGAGTTCCACAGGTTGACTACACGCTGTGTGAAGAAGAACTTTCTTTTATTAGTTTTAAACCAGCTACCCATTAATTTCATTTGGTGTCCTCTAGTTCTTCTATTAAGGGAACTAATAAATAAGGGTATGTCTACACTACAAAGTTAATTCGAACTAACAGACGTTAGTTCAAATTAACTTTGATAGGCGTTACACTAGCGCTCCGCTAGTTCGAACTTAATTCGAACTAGCGGAGCGCTTAGTTCGAACTAGGTAAACCTCATTCTATGA